GGTCATAAATATATTCACAAAAGATCAACCAGTTGGGCCCTTGTCTTAATACATAAAAGTCTTAACAATAAGTACCCACTCGAAACATCCCAAGTAGTGCCTGTCGTTCTAAATATCCATATGTTTTTCAGCAATACACTTCCGGTTCGAGAGACGAGAGAATTAATTTCCTAACAAGAATTTATAATACAAAAATAAAAATCAATAACGAAATGAAATGTTTGTAAACTAAATGGTTGTAGGAGAAACCCTACAGTTTGAAAGACCTATTTATGCCACTTTGTGTGGAATATAACAGCGTTCAAATGTCCGCCGCGGCTTGTCTGGGTGGAGCCTCATTTATGCGCCATGACTCTGGCGCATAAATCAGGTTGAATTTGACCAATGGCATGGGTTATGTTGGCTTTGAGGACCGCTGTGGCTTGTGACTTATTCGCATACACCTGCGACTCAAGAAAACTCCACAAGAAAAAGTCCAACGGGGTCAAATCGTACGATCTCGGTGGCCAGTTCACCTCCACGTGAGATAATCATGCCCTCAAATCGCTGGTGCAGAATATTCAATTTGGCATGAGCTGTGTGGAACGTAGCGTCTTCTTGTTGAAACCACATCACGTTGTTATACAGATTATCGAATTCAGGCCACAAAAAGTTGGCAACCCTCAACCTATAGTGCTCGTCGTTAATTTGGCAACCATTGACCTATACTGCTCGTCGTTAACAGTGATGGCCTGGCCAACGTTGTTCTCAAAGAAATATAAACCGGTGACGCCGCCAGCCCAAAATGCACACCAAATAGTGACTTTTTTGGGACGCATTGGACATTCTTGGATCTCGTGTGGATTGGTATCGTTCAAAATTCGACAATTTAGTTTATTCACGTACCCATTCGTCGCTGAAGATTTTTTTTTTTCGATGAAAATTAGGGTCGATTGCCAACTGCTCCAGAGCCCATTCAGCGAACACACGCCTTTGTCTATGTTTGCCTTCAGTTCCTCGTCATTTAAATTTTGTACAGGTGCAGGCCTAAGTCACGAAGCAAAATTCGCAAAGTTGTGGTCTGCGTCTGTGTGGCTGAGTTTTTGTGAGTGACGCGAATTCGACTGCCTCGGATTCTCCTGCACACTCTCACAGACAGCGGCGATGTTTTCGGTAGATCTTGCGTTTCGTCGACGTACGAGTGTAGGTCGATCGTGGACTCAAATTTATCCCACCACATTGCGAATAGTGCTCTCTGTAGGACGGTTATGGCGATCGTAAAATGGTCAAAACGCGTGGTACGTTCCCCGAACAGAACACCCACTTTGATAAAATAATTTTATTATCTGCATGTTTTTTCACAAACTTCATTAATCAATATCCCCAGTCTGACGCCTATAAATACTATATTTAACGCAATATGATAAACAGCGTCGGTCGCCTCTTTTGAAGTTCGTTGTCGCAAGTCACCATTTCAATGGCTCCTTAGCGGTTTTCTCAAGGGCCATAGCGGGTAGAAATATCTCACTAACTTTGTGGATGCATTATAGTGCCACTTGCTTGAGACGACTATGTTGCTTTCTTTGATGTACCGGCATGTTTGCATTCTTGAAGTTCTTTCACTCTCACACAATACCGATTGTATTATAGTTACCAGCTGAAGTACCCGGCTTTGCTCAGGAGCAATGTGTAGCCTAAAATACTGTAACGAATCTGAAGCCGCCCCTGACCGATATGCCGGCCAGCGAACAAACACATGACATCACCGCGAAAGAATGCAGTCGGCAACCGCCGGTAAAACTGTAGTCGAGTATCGAACCGACTACAGATTTCTAGAAAGAACCGTTACACTATATAAGCCCGGCTTCCCGACCCAAGAGGGCAGTTCGGAAAGTGAATCGAGCGGCTAAGCAAGAAATCCAAATAGTGGAAATGAATTAAGCGTCAGTTGCTAAGTGTTGAATATAAATTAGTTTGTGATTAGTGAAATATTGTAGGAAATAAATTTGTTTTAAGACAGTTAGTTCTTTAATTTGTTACAATACTATCACTTCTGCCGTATAACTGATATAGTCATCCAGATATGATTATATTTTTCAACTAATATCTGGGTTGACGAATAATGTGTACAAAATGTTTTCGAAGTTCTACTGTTTTATAACTGAATATAAACATTTCTTGATCAGTGTTCCACTACAAGGAAGTAGCTTATAAATATCCAAATATTTCAGTTAGTAAGTTTAGTTTTATTATTTGGAGATTGCACGCTTCACTTAATGCCAGTTGACCAAAAAATCAATGATTTCAAACGTCCACTCTTCGAAATGAATATTGACTGGGTGTCCCATTAAGCAGTTATTCCTCCCTAGACAATCGAGTTCTGTATTTGCCACTTTTTCTTTCCATAATCTTCGCGATAACGTTTTTTCTTTCAACTAGCCTATAAGTATGTCACGCATTGAAGTCCGTAGGTTTAGAGATAATGATTTGATATAAACTTCCTGTTTATGGAAATGCACAAGTTAACCAATAGATAAGTAGTTATTTTTGATTTCTTATTCAATTCAATCGGTTAGGAGAATACCCAACAAATTCTATTTTTTTTTACAAAAGAATGACGTTTTTACAAGGCTGAATTCAACTTGCAATGTATGTGTAGTGTATGTACCTTGGATGACTATGTATGGTATTCCAATGCTTTTAAATCCAAGATGGTGTACCACCCAAGATGGCGGACTAGATAGTTTTTATCCAATCCTATGATATGGATTTCAAATGAAACAGTTTGCTGAAATACGTAAAATACGTACTAATACGTAAAATAAAAAAGTCACAGTTAATCCAATATGGCAAATTTATGATGTTTATTTTCAATTTCACGAGAAAAATTGTGATAAGCAAAGTTGATTAAAATTAAACTTCCTACAATTTTGGTTCTCATTAATTTTTCCTTCAGATCGATATTTTTCTATTTATACCCGAGAGAAGGAGGTGTAAATTCTCATTGTATTATCACGTTTATTTTCAATTTTACGAGAGAAATTGTAATGGACAAATTTGTTTGAAATAAAATTTTCCACATTTTTGATCCTTATCAATTTTTTCGTAGGATCGATATTTTTCGATTTATACCAGAGATGTGGGGGTGAACTTAGATATTCTTCTATCGCGTTTATTATTCTTGTTTTCGTCTATTTTTTTTTGTTTTTTATTGATTGTCTTCAAAAGTGAAATGAACATTTGATGTGTCGATAATGTAATTTAGTTTAATACAACTTTGTTTATCACAATTTTTCTCATAAAATTGAAAATATACTTGATAATACAATGATAGGATTTTACCCCTTTTACCTCCTTTTCTGGGGTAAAAGTCGGAAAATATCGATCTTACGAAAAAATGGATAAGGACTTAAATTGAAGGAAATTTTATTTTAAACGATTTTGTTCATTACAATTTTTCTCTTAAAAGTTGTTCAATGAAAAAAAGTTCATAAGTTGATAAGAACCAAAATTGTAAGAAACTGAACAACTTCTGTGGTGACTATTTTTCGTGTAGAATTGAAAAGAAACGAGTTTGGTACCCCGGGAACTTTAATTTTGACTGCCAGTGACCCCCCCCCCCAAGTATTCCTAAAAAAAATAGCTAGTAAAAATGTTTGTGTTGCTAGCCCATTTTTGAGCTAATTCGACTGGGCTATGTGCGTTGTCGGATGTCATTCCCTGCAAGTGGCCGTCGATGGATACCTCTCGAATACTTTTACCATCAACGCTGGTATTCCCCAGGGATCCATATTGTCTCCAACCCTCTTTTTATTGTATATCAACGACGTATTGGAAAAAACCAAGAATCCAATATATTGCTTTTTGGACGACAGCACACTTGTCTTGTCATTCCATTTCGATTCCAGGACATCGGCTACGGAGGCACAATTAAGATGTTTCTGAAATAATGAGGATTGTTATCATATCCGTCTAAATATCTTTCCAGTAATCGCATTATATGGGATCATTATTTTAAACAACAAAATATGTAGGTATAGTCTGTCTTAAAACGAGAACTCGGATTTTTTTTGTAGTCGTTCAACAGAAAAATAATGTTTAATATTTTTTTTCAATGACATCGTCATATTTCAACCAAATCACAAAATTATTAATTATATACGTAAACCTTTCTCTTGAATCGTATGAAAATCCGTTTGGTGGTTTTTGGGTTTGTCCCATTCAGGTAAGACAGACACGGCGGGGAACTTTAATTTATAATAAGTGTAGGTGTTGCTTTGAAATGCCAACAATACGTTTTCTGAAAATTGCAAAAATTATATGAATTTGACTCAAATACTCACCGTATCGATGAAGTGAATGCAGAAAATATTGCTCGCCAACGTGCGTAACAATAAGTTTTTAGGTGTTGTCACAAAAAATCTGAAGGACTTGAATCAGGTGACCAAGAAGGACACTCACAGACCCACTGAGGAATTTCTAAAACATGTTCTTCCACAAATGAATAGCCTTGGGATTACAATCGACCTTGTAACGACATTTGTGACAACTAACCACTCCGTTATTCGCCAACCTCTTGCCCTTAGCATTGGCCCCTAACTTTAGTTTTTGGGTCAGAACGTGTCCCACTTACTTAATGTGCTTTTGGATTTCTGCCAAAAGTTTTTTCCCTAACAGTTTTCAATGACCATCTTTATGTTTATAAAGTTATAGATGGATAATAATTGATAATTGTGGGAAAGTCCACATACAATTCATGTAATCATTTCCGGATACAAATTGAAAACCTCACTGATTACTTAGTTGCTACTTGTTGTCAACAAATATAAAGGGTGTTCCTGTTCTTATTTTCCCCACTAGATGGCAACGAATTCCAGGTTTATTTGTTTAAAATAACCATTTCATATAAATGATATTATTTTTTTAAGTCGAGAATGAAGATCTTCTTCTTGGTTCGCCCCTACATTATCTTGAAGAATAAATCTTTGAAAGGTGCTGAAATCAAAAATTTTCTTTTTCAGACGAGAACAGTGGCCTTTATTTTCAAGTTACGCATGCTGGCAGCAGTTAGTTACTGAAACGAAAAATTTAAGCAGAGATCATGCTGCATTGGCCGAAGTTTACTCCACACATTTGGTATCTCGATTATCACAGGTCATGGAAGACGTTCAGAGAATCTATAAGAGGGTAAGTAGAATTAAAAATACACCAATATTCTAGATTTAGTTAGAGCCTGAACAACAAACTGAAATTAAATATTTTGCAAATGAGCCAATATCTCTAAATATAGATTTGAAAAAATATTTATTTAAGGCACGCTCTGCCTCTTTGAGGCAGTCTTGAAAATGATAAATGTTCGGGCTGTTTGTTTTTTGCTCGGCAACAATGTCGTTATTTTGTATTTCTTATTCGTTACCTTATAGACCCAATGGATCAACGAAAGTTTCCCAATATCCCCTAATAAGCATCACTCATTTATACTATCCAACGACCTAAAAACAGTAGAAGTATCGTCTTGTTGAAACATAATTTCGTCTTCAATATATGCAGGATCTATCTCTACGATAGTGAGAGCTGAATCGATAACATTCTTGAGTAAATCCGGGTACATATAATCTGTTGAATTTCTTTAAAGTATGTTTCAAAATGAACGCAAAATTCGAATTATTGCCGCCATTTGTGCAGGTAACCCCAAAAAACAATTTTACAGCGGACAGTTTGGGATCAGTCCAAAACCAAACTGTTCAAATATGAATATCGAAGGAGTGCGCAACTGAACCCTAATGTGCATGCACACCGAAGAGAGCTTGTTAATTGGATTATTGAACATTAACAAGTGAATGCTGATTTTCCTGGCAAAATTATCATCTTCATGATTTTGTTAATTCACAAAATTGTCGAAAAACAAATGCATCCACAAAACCCATAAAACCCATAAAACTATTCTAATATTGCATGGGACACTTCTAGGTTGTGTAGACTGTCTGATTTAACACCATTAAATTTCTTTATATGAGCTTCTTTGCAGTCAAAGGTTCATATTAACAAAGCCTACAACCACTCGTACAGGGTACAGACTAGCTATCCAACCTTCGATCTTTGACTTAACGCACATAATGTGCGGGTTCCAAGTGAGCCTACGGTCTATTAGAAGACCGAGGTACTCTACCCGCGCTTGCCAGTCAATCTCCCTTCCAGAGATTCTCACTTTTCTGGCCGGAGAAGATAGCAATCTTCCCATGGTTATCGCCTGAGTCTTGTTCGGGTTCACTCGGATCTTCCAATCGAGGTACCAGCGCTCGAGGTCATCCAATGCACGATGCATGTAGACGACTCCGAGCTCTCGACCCATGGAAGATGAGAGGAGAGCCGTGTCATCGGCGTATTGAAATATCTTCACACGCTCAGGCCTCGGAAGGTCACTGGTGTAAAGTGAGTACAACGTCGAAAAGAGCACTGCTTCCTGTGGCACTCCAGCGAGGATCTCTCTGTTGTCAGACAGAGAGCCTTTTACTCTAACCTGAAATGTTCTGCCTTTCAGGAAAGACCCAATCCACCGGATCAGGCCCCGAGGCAGGTCGAACGCGATTAATTTGTGCAGAAGACCTTCGTGCCATACACGGTCGAAGACCTTCGAAATGTCTAACAGTACAATGTGCACTTTTTTATTAGTGTTCAACTCGTGGATGGTGTTTTCGACCAGCCTGTAACTCAGTGGAGTGTTCTCTCCTGAAGCCAAATTGTTCATCAGGCAGAACATTTCGGTCCTCAACTTCTTCGTTGAGCCTTTGGAGAACGACTCTTTCAGCCAGCTTAGCCGCCGACGAAAGTAGATTGATCGGGCGATAGTTCTTTGGGAACAGCAGGTTCTGACTCTGTTTTGGGATCATGACGACAATCTCATGCTTCCACCTTCTGGGGAAGTGTCTGAGGGGCAACGAACTGTTTATGATGTTCAGAAGGTTCTTAACACAGTTGTCTGGGAGTCTCTTCAATAACTTGTTGGTTATTTTCGTCGGGTATCTGCGCCATAGTATCTGCCATACGTACCTACAAGGTCGTAGGTTCACATGAGAGTCAAGGGGTAAGGTGTTTTTTCAGTTTTCACCTGAACTAAACCTGGTTATATGTAATTCTTGATGTGGCCCCATTTTGGATCATTTGTATTGTTGTCTTGGGTATATCTGTCCCACATAATATACAATTTATAGCGGTAAAGAAAAAAACAACAGAGCTCCTAAAGCCCCTCACCAAAGAAGACTTCCACACTGCTTCGATCAATGGAAAAAACGTATGGGAAGGTGTGTGGCGAGGGGAGGGGAGTATATTGAAGGGGAGCATTCGAATGTAGAATAATTTTTATAATAAAACCCTTTTTCGTAACCAGACCCGTTATTTAATAGTCGGACCTTGTATTTCTGACTACCACTTGAATAACAGTCACAGATCTCTCCCTAGAATGGAAATGCATAGAAAATGTTTTCTCTGCATTCACTATCGAGACATTTCTCTCACCTCAATTTATGAATTCTCTTCTAAATTATTCAGTTTTTTAAGTACTCATTCAGGACTATCAAAATCAAGGGCCAATGTAGTATCATCTGCATAGAGAACTACAGAATCTGAAGTAATATAGTCAGGTAGATCGTTTATGATGATGAATTCCGCCTACGGCAATATAATGTAGAATATGAAATTATTTCAAAAATCTGGGATATTTTTGGACCATAAAAAGAGTTTCTTGAGAACAGTGCAAAAAATAGGTACCTCACGATACCTATTTGGTTCTTCTTTCCAAAAAAATTATATGTTAATCTCTACATTCTAGATCTACACTCATTTATTTTTGTTGGTTGTGATTATAAAGAAAAGATATACGTTTTTCATGTCGTCATTCTACTCGCTTTCTTGTTTTGATTATTCATATGCTCTTTCTCTTGTCTTTTCATCACCCTGACAAAATCTACTGGGACACTTGATACTCACAAGCGAATATATTTTCTAGTGTCGTGAAATAGGATATGAGACGCACGAAGAAATACTCCGAGTATTGCACGAGTTGCACACAACTATGAAAACATATCACAGTTATCAAGCCGAGCTTCGTCAGGCTGAAGCAAAATTGAGAACGGCTGAAATGCAACGAACCAAGCTGGAACAGTCAACCGCACAAGATAAATTGGAACGCTCAAAAAAATATAAGCTGGTAGAGAAAGAAGTCACAAAGGTATTTTCTTTGTATTAGGTTCATTTTTCAAATAATTGATGAGCTTTTTTTTCAGAGACGAAATAAATACACCGATGTGAAACTGAAAGCACTTAAAGCCCGAAACGAATATATTTTATGCCTGGAAGCATCCAACACGACCATACACAAGTACTTTGTAGACGACTTATCTGATCTCATAGACGTAAGTTTTTGATGCTTTTAAATTCCTTCAGTTGTTTCGGAAAATTGAAAAGATAGACTTGAATAATGTTCCAATTAACATCTATTTGTCTAAAATTTTGAAACAGATGGTGGTTTCTATTGAAATACACAATAAAATAATGATAACTGCAAATCTTCTATTTTTTTCACTACTTGTACTGTCTATTTCTTTCCAAATCTCCGGAAAACATGACAGCCCAGTGGACTCATTGCGTTTTTATTAATTAAACGGTTTTTTTAAGATTGCCTTGTTTGTTTGTGTCAAATTCAGCAATTGAAATTTGACCCTCTTCCTGCTAACAGATTGATCTGATATTTGGTACACAAATTTAGTTTTTATGGCAATACAATTTAATAAATTATGTATTCTTGTAAATTCAAGATGGCCGCAACTACAAAATGGCGGATTACATCTTTTTTCACAACTACCTCAATATGGGTATCAAATGACGGGGCTTGACTAGTAGAATAGTAGCACACTTTGAAAAAGAAGCAAATTCAAGTCCTAGGTAATAGTCATCACACCACTCAGATAAAAAATAATAAAATCATTGGGCGGAGCGTAACCTGGGTAAATATGTAAATACTCCATCCAATGATTTTATTATCATTTTATCTGATCAATACCGTAGATTACTGAGGAGAGTGGTTGTGATGACTGCTACCTAGGACCTTCCGAATTATTTTTCAGTTTTTAGTACATTATCTACATCATTATTATAATTTTTTCTTATCGTTTCATGACACCCATTTTAAACAATCTTGTTTCCTGTACTAGCTTGAACAGATCCTTTGTTGCATATTTATCACTTTCTTCTGGACATAGTCAATAATATATGAATGGGAAGTAATAGTATACTATTTAACAAACGAGAAATATGGTTACTCACGATTTTATTCAATTTCAAATAGTTTGTGAATTTAGTAGTGAAAAAATCAGCCTTCTGTAGGATTCAAACCAGGGAAGTCTGGATACGAATCCTACCAACTACTTCACAAACATATGTAAAAGTTGGCGTGGGATAAAACCATTTGAGTTTCAGTTTATTTTCAGTTTGTTATAAAGGAGTGAAATTTTGGAAAATATGGATCGATTTCCCAAGTTCTTGTTTCTATTCGGTAGCTGGTCGGTTCGACGTGGGTGCTTTGTTCACTCACTCGAATCGACCGCCGTGTTGGTCGGTGGTTCAAGCCCCAGGATGAACGATCGATTTTCACTTGCTTTCTTTCGTCCAACTCGTATAAGGAATCACACGTTTAAAGGTAAGACCTCGTTAATCCTTAGCTCGCACAAGTTTCTACTTCTGAGGGTTGTCGTTCGTAGGGGTGCGACAGCTGGTTAACGGAAAAACAAATTTAAACAGAGATTCATGTTTTTCGTTAGAAACTACATATTTCAAAACGAACTGCCATTTAAGTGAAAACAACAGAAACACGACTGTAATGTTATGAATTTGCTCATCTGTAATTGCCTCGAAGTAGTGAGTTATGAATCTGGTCAACTGTGATCGGTTCGAATTTGTGAATAATGAACGAGTTTGGTTACGTACTGAACAAGAAATGGTTACATGATTGATGCTGTTATCAATAATCATAGAAAAATACAATGACGATTTGATATAAATTGACACTCAAAAATTACTAATAACCCCCATCTGATTATCTTCATTTAATGACGGAAGTTATGACATTGACGCTCCAAATTGGTGTAAGATTTAATTTTAGTCATCTCCTGATGATGTTAACTTGGGTAGCGAAATGCGCGTTAGGAGACGCACAATTCTTCTTCTGGTTTGGGAAAGTATTTCCTTGGGTTTCGAAGAGAAAACTGATGAAAAAATACAACAATTATGATACCCCATAAATAAATATGAAAAATGAACGATAAAAAATGAAAAATAACTTCTTGAAGTAAGTAAGTTAATGAATGTCTTTGTTGGGTTTATCTAACTACTAAAATGATTCAAAAATAAATCATTCAACATATCACACAATGAAATGGTCCAATGACTTCTAGCCATAACCATTAAATAGTCATTGAAGTGTTTAATAATATATTTATAGTTTTTCATTGAATGGATTTTTAGAGCAGGATATTCAAGAAGTGTTTATTTAGAATGTTTAATGTGGTCACCTACTTGCTACTGGGTTTATTGTTTCACATCTGTAATAAACAACTTAACTTCTACACGTGGAAGGAAACACTTAAATTGAATTGAATAGAAACAAAGTTGAGGGACATCTATTTCAAAATTTGATAGGACGGAGCTATTGCTATTATATATTTTGAATATCAATATTATCTATTGGATGCTACTATGCTAAAAAGAATCAATATTTTCACTGGCCCAGTATCAGGTATAGAATGAATTTTTCAACATCATGTTTGTATTTTGTTGTGTGTTGATTATTTCTTGCAATAAATATGTATTCAGAGATATCAGATTGAAAGTGGATTAGTTTCCTTTTGCAATTCATTTTAATAATAAATGATTACTACAGAGCAATATTCTACTTTTATGCCTCTCACCAACAAACTAAACATGCTTGCTGAACACATGAAACTATGAACATATGTTCGATGCAAGTATACCAACATCAAAAAATTAAAAAATCACCAATCGAATGTATGTAACCCGCGAAATTTGAATATTCACCTTATTTTTTCAACAGTCCACTTATGTTGAAATCTGAGGATGGGAATTTTTTCAGTAAAATGAATCTTGATAATATTCATCTAGGCCCTAGATTCTAGGATATAATAGGCCTTCTCAACCATGAGCATTTTCACATCTTTTCGGAACCAAGATTAGCTTTAAATCTCTCGCAAGACGAGGAAGGTGATTAATTTCCTCGCCCTCAAATGATAATGATTCATGAATCGAAGTTGAGGAGGAAATTGGTAGTAAGATATAATGAAGGAGCGACTGTTGTAAGCTGAGCCTTAAATGATTTTAGCTTTGTATTTCATGTACAGGAGGAAACCCGTTAAAAAAATGTAAAAAACAAACTAAAGTCAGTACTTTATGTTTCAAAAACAAAGGACAACAGGAGTAACAATAGGATGACCTGCATAGATCCATTTCGATGAAAAGAAAATTATTTTGAATGAATACTGTGCACAAGTGCCTCAGAAACAGATTCCATAACGTAGATTTGACTCAATAAGTGCGTGATATACATTTTTTGCTACACCTATATTCGACTCATTAAAGACAACCCAAACGGCATAACAGCCTAAAGCCTATCGTTTGCTTAATTTCTCAATACGGCTACCAAATTTCGGCTCGTTAACAATCTGAAGTCCAAGAAATCCATTTTCCTCAGAATTGGACAATTATTCATTTTCCAAAGAAATATCTTTCTAGTCGCCATCAAATTAAATAATATTTGTTTTGCTAATATTGAAAGCTAGAAGATTGGCATCGCACACCAATCTTTAACTTTTTTTTATATTCCTGCTCATCAGCTTGTTGAGTTCAGAGAAGCTTTCGTTGTGCCACAGAATTGACGTATCATCTGCGAAGATGGTAATTTCACCGCTGATATCAATGTGACGGGTCCGAAGCTGATCTTTGTGGCACACCACACTCGGCTACTAACTCTTCGGATTTGATCCCGTTCAATGACACGATTTGGCGACGTTCGGATAAGTACGACCTGAGCCAGGACAGCGTGCACCTCTAAATCCATATAATTTTCTCTATCTGATGTCGACTAAGGAAATCATTACTTTTTTTACAGAACGAGACCATATTACTTGGGCCACTCAATTATAAAAAAATAATTTTATTACAGCAAAGAACCTCATGACATGGTTTCATTTAGAAATCAATATAAGTAGTCTGAAGTGCAAAAGGAAACCATGAATTTATGATGAATTTTGAATAACAACCATAGAAAAACTTGAACTCTTGACTTTGTCTTGCATATTTGAAAATGGTGACACCCTAACAATACATTTTTTCTAGGTTATTATTTTTTTGTAATGAATAGAATTAATTGGACAGTAGAGCCCAATAAAAAAAAACAAAATTTGTAAGTAGTTGATGGTTGTTTTTTTTTGCATACATACGGCCAATTTTTCTTTGATCTTATTGCATATTTGAAAATGGTGACACCCCAACAATACATTTTTTCTAGGTTATTATTTTTTTGTAATGAATAGAATTAATTGGACAGTAGTAGAGCCCAATAAAAAAAAACAAAATTTGTAAGTAGTTGATGGTTGGTTTTTTTTTTGCATACATACGGCCAATTTCTCTTAGATCTTACTAGAACTTTAATATTTTAGTGCATGGATTTTGGTTTCCACAACTGTATTTCACGAGCGTTATTGATGCATGTATCTGCTGAAGAAGGTAGACAAAAGTCGCTACAAAATGACTTGGATACATTAACAGCCTGCATCAACTCATTAGATTCCCGGCTCGATAAACAAAGATTTTTAGAATATAATCATGCTGCATTTATGATCCCCAAAAAGTTGGAATTCCAAGGACAGAAGACTGATGAAGTGAGTAAAACAAGAAATGTATTATTCAAGTAACATTTAATTGTGAGATTTTCACTGGACAGTTCACAACAATACGTTTTGTACAATAGCTTCCTTAAGCCTTTTCATACAAAAAGGGGGCGATTTGAATCAATTTGAAACTGAGGATAAAAAGGTAGTCTAGATATTTCATGTCAATTTATTTATCCATCCCTTAAAAACCATCAAAGCAATATTTGTGCACAATTCAAACTGGATAGAACTTCTTTTGCAGATGTGTTTCCGTTAAAAGCATGTCTGTCTTACAAGTAAATGTGATAACATCAATCTTTACAAAAAATTTCTGTTCGATATACATCACGGCATAATTCAATCGTACTTTGGATGTATTGCAACTCTCACTTTAGTTCAGAATGTTTTTTCAAATGGTTCTTTGTTGTACCATAAATACTGTTAACAGCCTCCAGAACCCGGAATCCAAGGTATTCTCCATAGAGAAATGGAATCCAGGCTCGGACAACTTCAACAAAGAGTTACGTCGCTTAGGGCAGAATCAGAAGAAGTTTGGAAAACTTTGGAAACGACTGAGAGTACATTACTAGAAATGTTAAGTGCCAAGGATTATGACTGTACTGGATACTTTGGAGAAACCTCAATGCCAGCTAGTAAACCCCCTGAGACTGTTTCTATAAAACTTAGAGCTGATCGACAAGAGACTGAAGAATTTTATTTGATGGTAGGTCGAAATAAGAGCATACAAAAATTGTTTTTTGTCGAATCAATCAAAAACTAAAAGGTTCATTCTTACAATTACAGAAGTTCAGAGAATATTTGTTAGGAACTACAAAAATCTCCCGCCTGAAAAAGTAAATGTAATAACATATAAATGTAAATAACTACATATAACCATTTTATAAAAGTCAGTCCTAATAATATGTAACCATATTATAAGTCAGTCAAAATAATATAAACAACACAATAACACAAACAGTGATAAACTTCCATAAGTAATAAAAGTAAAATATAAATGTAACTAGTTATAGACTAAAAAAAAGCCAATAAAATATAATCAACACACAATTTCTCAAGTATTGACAGTGAACACCTTAACCAAATGTGCTAAAGCTTAAGATCTCCGGTTATTTGATTGGTAAATTCTTGAATGGTGTAACAAGTCCTTTGAAGTAGCATTTTTCAGCTGACTTTTGAACACAATAGAAGCCATTACTAATTTATGACTCATTCAACAGAAACCATCTAACAAATCAATGATTATTCTCCATATTTGACTCTTCCGAAGCATTTTCTTATGTTATCCCTTTACAACAATCGTATTATGTAATATAATTTTTATCTTACTCAATTCCTAAAAATGTTGCAAACTAATTTGATTACATTTTTTGAATCACTTACCGTGTTTTACAACCATCGTTTGATGTTGTTTGTTTCAGAATTAGAAACTAAGCAAGAATTTATATCTCGAATGAGGGAACTGATGATGAGCCTACCTCGTGCAGTGATGGTGGTGCTAAGATATTTATTTGCGTTCCTGAACCATCTTTCAGAATATTCTGACGAGAACATGATGGATCCTTACAACTTGGCTATATGTTTTGGCCCTACTTTAGTACCTGTACCAGAAGATAAGGACCAAGTTCAATACCAGAACCAAGTCAATGAGCTCATAAAGAACATCATCATGTTCAATGAAGATATATTTCCGAATGATGGGGGGACTGTTTATGAAAAATATATCTCTCCAAATTCTGAGGACCAGTGAGTACTGTATTGTTATTTATAGTTTGAATACAAATGAGATGTATCAACTTCTCAGTGGTTTTATGATAACTGCATAACTAAGCTTGCTTAACTGCTTATTAGAAAGATGAACGTGAAAAGGTTAATGCAGATTCACAATATGAGAAATATTTTGAATTATATTCATCATCACAGAAAAAAGTCAAAGAGATAAAGAGTTAAGAAAGACCACATCCCGAAACTAATATCAGCATTAAATGGTATTGCTAGAGACTGACTGATGCATGCTCTCACATGGTCTGATTGACTGACTTTCGTCTACATTTCTAGCTAGTCGCTTACTTCATATATTCTTTTGTTATTCGGATATTACAACATAAAGTAGGGAACTTTGAATTTATCTGGTTGAAGTTCATTTCTTTTTCATAAAACATATAAAAAAAACAATAAAGTTGCAAAATCTGGGTAATGAAAGAAACAAATTCAAATCTATAATTGGAATCTGAATCACCGGGCTCAGTTACTAAGCTTTTGCCAAAGGTTTTTGTTATGTTATATGTCAGTTATGATCGTTAGGCATTAAAACAATATCACAATAACGCTTTCTCAGTTGTATCTATGTTTTAACTGATAGTATGGTTTCATCAAATTGTATTTAAATCTGTCGATAGTTGAATGAACTTGAGTTATGACCAGGTTGTTTATCCTGGCGACCATTCGATTGGAGCTTGGGTACGAAACAACTTCACGGCTTTGCTTTACTACTATTGTGCACGTGACAGTTTTCCTAATTCATTTGCGGCATCATGAAACAGTAACATTCATTTTGCATGTTCCCCATTTTTGGAGGGATCTCGTTAATGCATGTATTCAAAAAATAATAAACGTGGCCGTTATTAAAATGTTATAGTGACGTCGGTGATTCTCCTGACCAAACTCAAGAAGATTTGGATTCTGAAGTGTATCCTTCAGAAGATGATTCTGAAAATGTGGAAGCCACAGCTCAATTCGATTTTATTGCAAGATCTGATAGAGAGTTATCTTTGAAAAGGGGGGACTCTGTTACATTGTATTCGCAAGTGTCAAATGATTGGTGGAGAGGTGCCGTTAAAGGACAAGAAGGACTTATTCCAGATAAATATATTTCGTTGAAAATGAAGTAAGTGAGACACTTCATATAAAGGGTTAGTGAAGTAGAGCTTATTGCAGATTAATATATTCCATTGAAAATGCAGTAAGTGAGATATCTGGTGTATTCACATGTTAGTTGACTGTTTACAGAGTCAAAATAGTGAAATATTAATATTTTTGATACATGTCTATAACACCATCACAAAACAATAGAACTGCAACACTCTTCATGACGCGCGTCACCAACATAGCTGGAGTTATCGATTGTGATCGTGATGATCAATGTCACTGTTCTGGATTAGGGGAAAAAGTTTTGTTGAATTCATTATACGCTAGATAACCCAATTCTACTCTTCATAGCTTAATTAACTTTCGGTTTATATTTTGAAGATCTAGTATAAATATGCGGCTTACTACGCAATGTATTTGCTCATAGTTCTTCTAAAATGTAAAGCCTAAGTCTTTCATTAATACACTTTAGGAATATTTCATCATAGAAAATTTCCTACTCATCGATTGCAGTTTGATCTTTCAAAAATGATTGAGTACATTCAGTAGTGTCGCACTGAAGAGTTCATTCACTAGGCTTTCATCTTCAGGTGTGGCCTCTCTAATATTCATTATAATTTCTCTATTCCTTTCACTTGATGGATATTTTCCCACAGAAAATTGTCCCTGTTGATTCATTGACTGAGGTTTGACGTTTAAATATTAATTGAATACATTACATTAATTTCAAGTCCATACAAAATTGTTAAATGTGCGTTTATTCACTATTTGATTCACATCAGCATTTTCTCGACATTTTAAATCAGCCAATATCTTGAGCAGATGAAATTGTTTTCAGAATCCATCTCCAGTTCGAAGGAGACGTACACATTCAAATCAGTTTCTGGTGATGTAATTTCTTGTAAACCTTTTATCTTAGAGAGATAATAATAGTTCAGAAACTCACTTCGAATCTAAAATATCATTTTAGTCTTTGTTTAATTTCAGGGATGACGATAAAGAAAAACTGAGCATCATAAAGTCTAGCTCCTCTGAAGAGTCTGTGCGACGAAGGGCCTCTAGCTCCAATGACTCAATGCTATCGGAAAGTTCCGCATCGGTTAGTAATTTGAACTCGCCTATAGTACCGTACCTTCCAATTAATTGGTCAAAAGTGGCTGAATCAGTTGAAGCACGAGAGGTATTGGAAACGACTGTTTGAGTGTTCTTATGAGTTTATAGTGTTGGCCGAGTTTCTCAAATGAAAGATTTTCCAAAAAAAAAAAGATTTTATTTCCTTGCAATGTAAGGATATTTGTAAATAGTGTTCAACTGTTGTTTTATATTCCATTTTTTTTAAGTTGTTAATCTCTGATAAATCATTCATGAAAATATTTTAAGAATACCTTATAAAACAATTATCAAATGAAAATTCAGTCTCAATCAACTGTCTTTTTGAGCTTTCAATTCGAACTAATGAAATAACTGAATATCTTGGATATTACAGTATTTTGGAACAAATAGTTTTGTTCAAACTCACACATAGAGTGAAAAATTTGGAAAATCTAAGCTTTCGTAGATGTGCAGTGGCCAAGTTATTTTTTTTTTAATAGGCTCATTTATTGCAATAAATTTTGTGATTTTATTTTAAATTGATAATTCAATGAGATTTTTTTTTGCTTTAAAGGTGCATGTGTTTCAATGTATTATTTATCTCACCATGTTTAGATTAAACTGTGCATGTGCATGTTGATTTACTTATTTGTGCTTCATTTCACTTCAATTGTACTTCAGTTATTATTCAGCTTCCCAGCTGAAAATGTTGAAATCCTCAAATTTTTATGGAATCAGTATTACTTTTGGGATCAGGCTACTTCTGACACTCTGTCCCATATCTCTGTTTTTTTGGACAAAACAGATGTCTATTTTTTTTTGGACAAAACAGATGTTACTTTGTATCGACTCAGGTTCATCAATTCCCCATATGAAACTGAGTTTTCACCAAATAATTATAGAATCACTTCACATTTCATTAGTTTCCTCTGTCATTTAGTCAATAGTGGGTCAAAAGTTGCCTATCAAAACAATTAAAGATCAGAAGAGTTCCATTTACGTAACAAATACATTTATGAAGCCACCAGTTCGCTTATTTTTTGTGAACCTATGACTGTTTGTGACGGGTTTCGAGACAAGTTTTTATTACTTGTCGAGACTTTCGTTTTCAGAGTTTTGTATTTCTTGTGCCTGCACTGTACTAATATGCAAACTAGTGGGTTTTTGTGTACAAGGTGTGCAAACTGTCGGGTTACATGAATAAATTCTGGCCCAGTTTTTTTGCAGTAATTATATTTCCGTGTACTGAGAACAAATCATTCTGATTTTGAATCTTGTGCATGGAACTTTTATCAATTACAAAAAAATCATAATTTTTCCTACATAAGATTTTAAAAATACATTGTGTTTTACTTTTAACAAATAAAATATAATTTTCAATACTTGAAGAAATTATACATACACAATGGTCGAATGGGTCTCTAGGTAAACAAATGAAATTTCACTTTTCAATCATATTTGTCTTACAAGTTTGTTTTTGAAAAAATAACCGGTTATTTTCTATAAACACTTTTTTAATTAAATCGAACAAAGGTTGCCTGGTTGGAATTCAAACAAAAATCTTTTCAGATCGTGACTATCAACGGCTTTTGTTTGAGATTTTCACAATAAACTGAAATTTCCGAGTTTTGTTGGATGTGGTAGAGCCATTTCTAATATGAAAATAAGTTGGAGGAAGTTTTTGTGCTGATTCATGTTTATAGGACGTTTAGTTGATTGGGTTACATTTTTTTTTAATATTGATATTTATTATTTCTCATCAGCTAGAAAATGGATATTTTGAGATGAAATCTCTGAATATTTTACTCTCCCAACTACCTACACTGTAGCTTCTGCTAAATGCCTACCGGAAATCAACCACTTCTCAGGTTAATACCACGCTGGATATTAAATTATATCTGACATACATTCATGCAAGATACCTTACAGAGGCTAGTCTTGCAGATGTTTCTCGTTCATCCAGCAACAGGACCATGCTGAGATATTTCAAGTAGATCACCTACAGTCCGGTTTCAAGGTATTAGCTTTCATCAGTGCAGGAAAAATCCGATCCAAACAGCAAAGTGCCTGCGACTTGATTAATTTCAACATGACTCAACTGCATGTATGAAACCTTTGTCTAATGAACAAAGCCCCAAGCGAGGAAGAAACATCCTATATACCAATACTCTAAGAGAGATAAAACCTTTGTCTACGAAAAAGATTGTTAACTAGTAACAGCTTCATCTAATGAACAAAGCCCCAAGCGAGGAAGAAACATCCCATGTACCAATACTCTAACAGAGATAAAACCAAGTCTGAAGAATGTATCAAGGAGAGATAGATACGTTCTAGAAAATGAATATTTTGAAATAAAATTTCGAAATATTAATTTGTCCCAACTACCTATACCTTAGGTTCTGGTAAATGCCTGCGAGGCTAGCATCTGTCAGGTATCTTGCATTAATGTCTGTCTGATATAGTTCAGAATTCAGCATGTATTATCCTGGCATTTACCAGAACCTATGGTGTAGGTAGTTGGGATATAGGAATTTTTGGAGATTTCATCACGAAATATTTATTTTCTAGTACGTATGTATCTCTCCTCGATACAGTTTTCAGACAGTTTTAGTTGCCACCACCATAACCAATTCAGCGATGTCTCAATGTAAAAACTGCTTTTCAATTAAAAAAATGTTGAAACTGGTGGTTGCACGGGAGTCTAGTAACTTTTAAAAGTATTTGTAATTAATTGTTCTGAAAAATAAAAGTTGTTCAGGACACAGTTATCAAGTTCAGCAAGAATTTGTTCAAAATTTAGATTTCAATTCCAATTTTTCGTGAAATGGTAGCCTGAAAGTATCAGCTCATGAAAATAATGCATTTGCAGAGAAAGCAAATTGATTTTTGGCGTTTTTCTCCAGAGTGAAAGAAAAGCCAAGTAAGTTTATTCGGCAATGTTTTCAATGCACTTTTGTGGTTGACCAATTTTAATCAATTGTTTTATAAATAATTTGAAAAATAATTCATAATAGTAGACTGATTGGTTTTTATTCAAATACAAAATGTATTTTACTCTAAATTGAGTTAACAATAACTTTTCAATTTCTTCAAAAACAAAAATTCAACATCTGAATTTATTCTCGAACATGAGGACATGAAGAATCGGGTGAATAAGTTCCAACAGAAAAATTATGGAGAATGCTTATCGATGTTTGCTTCTTGCTTATGTTCTTTTTCAAGACGTAACCGAAACGTTTATAGAATAGATACTGAAAAAATATTAAATATTTTATTCTTTTACTTTTACTTTGTAGAAGGTTAGAATAGAAATACGGCACATCATTTTATCAAGGTGAGCATTATTGCATCCCAATATTAATATATGCACAAATCTTTTGGCACTATTAACATTTATTACTTGAAACTAATTTGAAATAGTTCTACAATTATTTGCTTTAAAAATTGGATGCACTTATAAAATATTAGCGAAATCTACTCTTTTCAAACCATGCTTAATCTTGCATGTTATTTTATATAACTATTGTGAAATAATTCAGATAATTTTTAAATTTCAGATCGAAGTGAAACCTCCAATACTCATTAAAGGTAGTGTTCCTGCAACTGCTCCCATTGCCTACCCTGATAAGACTAAACAGCAAGTTACCGTTCAACAAGAAACTAACAATAGTCAAAATGTCATCATAGACAAAAAAGTTAACGCAAACACTGATTCGAAGACAAAACTGGATGGCTTAGATACTGCTGCTAAACAATCCGAAATTGACGAATCTAATGTTAATTTTTCCCAAAACCGAGAATTGTGGCAGAGAAGGGCCATCTTAGAATCTACGCTCTCTTCCCCAGTTTTAAAAGCGCACAGACTGTCTGAACCATATATTCACAGACAAAATCATACTCCTGATTTAGTGATGGATCTTCCTCTTGTTGGTAACTCCAGCCCCAAAGAGCAGTTGACCAAGTCACTATCATTATTGGGCAGTATTTATCCAGACAACTCTCCAGATAAGGATGTGAACCCTGTCACCTCTCTGGAAGCTGCAGGAGGTGACAGTCCAGATATGCAGACTGCTGCTGAGACTTTTGCCAAACAAAATCAATGCACGCTCAAGAAAAATAAAAAAAGTCACTTGCCTGAAGCAGCTGAGTATGTAGCCATCACAAGTCCTATGCCTGAAAGGAAATATGCTACATTAGATAGCAATAGCACAACCTCAACGTTCAAGCCACAAGTCGAATCTAAACCATTGTTGCTCAAGAAACCGGTATTTTCTGTGCCATTACGGTCTGTGTCCATTGAGATGATGTGCAAAGACCCACCAGATCTTCCAACCTAAGCTCATATCTCCCAAAAACCAATTATTTGGTGGTATTTTCTTGTTCTATTTATGTGATTGTCTTTGTTGATTATTTGGGTGCTTACTACCTCTAGGATAACAGTAGAATGTTAAGTTCTAGTACAAAATCGTTCGATTACAACCAATAAAATTCAGGCCATCCGAGAGCTACCAAGTTTGTATATTTATTTATTTCATTCAACAAACTACTTAACTTTGCTGAATTGCTGATCCAAATTATCTACCAAATTGAATGTGTCATATTTTGGTAATAATACGGCGATGAAAAATTTCTATACTTATTTTCGTATGATTTCATAATTATTGTCTATTTTCTTATTTGGAAAGTCTAGTGTTTTCAGAATGTTTTCAGGCTGAATCTGCTGAAATGATTGGTACATTTGGACAGCATTTCAATCATTTACGATGTGGCTACTGCTCTAAATAATCTAACCTTTCAATTACTGCTGTTAGTTTTGAAATTCACCAAAAATTAACGCTTTATCACGATTTTGGGTCAATTTCGTAAAATTGCAATGTGAAATAATCAGTTTGTTTGAAGGTGGTTGACAATGTTTCATGGGGAATTTGATTAGTTCGGACTTCCATTGTCTAATATGATGTAATATGATTTGAAATCCCTGTAGGAACAACTAAAATTAAAAGTAATAGCTGAAAATGACAATAATATCAAATAAAAAAACTCTAAAATGGAATTATCATTTGTTTTTTCAAGTATAACAATTTTTAATGAACATTCCATAGAAAATTTATCAATAATTTACATCACAAAAATCTATTTTTTAGATTATACCAGCTTTTTCTTAATATGCTTCTTCATATTCGATTTAATTTTTTCTGCTTTCGCTTCTTTCGCAGTCTTTTTTCTTGCTTTCTTTTCTTCTGTGCTCTCATATTGTGCTGAATTCCCAGTCTCGCCTCATTTTCAGGCTGTTTTATTGAAGTACTTGAATCTGTTTCAGTACCACTTGAATAAGAATTCAAAATTACTTTTTCATCAACCTGTTCCAAAGAGGTTGTTTCGTCGTTTTCAGCAAATTTCTCTGTAAATGCATCTACACATAGCTCCATATCACTTTCCCTGTTACTGGGATCGGTTATGAAATTAAATAAAGTTTCAGTACCCATGGTATCAATTTTGTTAAATTCCATTTTAATGTTTTTTGCTCAATATAGTTACTTCCAGCTATTCATTTTAATTTCAGTTGTTCTTTAAGGGATTGTATCATATTAGACAATAGAAGTGTGAAACTAATGGAATTCATAAAATAATCCTGCATGCAACACCCCTATGGAAAAATGGGTTACTGTTAATTTGACTGAACTTTCCATATATTTTGTGTTTCAGCATCCTGAACAAATGTCCCAATGGGTACACAAGACTCAAAACTCGAGGGGTCCCAAGAAAAGGCCCACCGAGTCAATTATTAGTAGAACCCATTGAAACATTTATTCAAGATGTCGCGACGCTAAACATATTACAAAATCAGCAACTTGAACCGAAAGTACTTTTCAAGTAGGGATTTATGGTCGAGACATTTATTTACTAGTGAAATCGATAGCACATTATGTTGACTTCGGCTGGCTTTATCTTGAGACCTGTTGAGTTTCGGGTCTTATGCTCATTCAGACATTTGTTGAGGACGCTGAGACACACAACATTTAAAAAATTCAGTCAAATCGACAGAAACCATAGGCATGTTGTCTGGCCTACTTGTAATATTAAATGGTCATAGTTTATTAGTTGTGAAAACAACTATTTGCATAGTAAAAAAAATTGAAACTTCAGAAACTTCTCAATATGTCAAAAAGATAGTAATATGTGTTCAATTAGTCTCAAAATTTACGAAATTGCCGATGACTCACGTTTGTATACTTATCTTACTTCGATAAGCTGAGTGCATATCTTCCAAACAAGAGCTCCTGCTGACTAAATGCAAATGTTAACTGGTTTTTCTTCCTTTTTCAATTGTATAAAAAAGGATGCCACATAAAAGTATGTTTTATTGATGAAGCACGTGAATTATTTTGTTGTCCCAACTGTAAATAAGTTTTATTACATTTAAATTCTTATTGAGAAAATAATTTCTATTTGAAAGAGGAAAAAGTAAGCACTCAAATATTCAAAAGTAACGTAAAAAATTGGACAATATTAAAGAAGATATAAGGCTATATTTATGTATTATTTTACAAGATGACTGGTTTTTAGGATAGTATTTTTCTATTTTGAGGGTATTGAATGTTGTGTCCGATATACTGTAGTGGAAACTTAGTTTCAGGTATACATTTTGAGTGTGAATATCATTTGAATTTCGTATTTATTTCAAATTGGTTGGATTCATGTTGGTAGTGGTCAATCTGGATTTTCGTAGATCGTAGTCCTCAATAGAGTTACCGATCAAGCTGAAAATGGGTTTTGATTAGTTTGTTAAACATTGTTAACCATGGTTATACTTACTTTATAACTATCATCAAAATCTCAGGTGATTTCTAATTGGTTACCTTTCTGTAAAATTACGTTAGATCATATTTTTAAATTTTGCAAATGAGAAAAGTAAATATTTCAAGTTTTACAGATGTCAAATATATCTGAAGTTGACTTATATCTGAAAGAAACATCAGGAGTTCAGATTACGAATCTGAAAGAAAAAATCGGTGCTCTCCCTTTTTTTCAGAGTTACAGTTCCAAAACTTTTCAGCCTCCTTTCTGCACAATACAAACTATAAAAACACAAGTATTTATTCACCACATCAGCTCCACACCTCACGTCACCTTCTTTGAAACTTTTCAGTTTAATAATCAACATTTTTCCTATAAAAAACTTGATTTAACGATTCGTTTTCTAGTGACGTCCCTACATTGTAAGGTTATATACGATAATTAAGGAAGTTTTTATAGAAAAAAATGTTGATTATTAAACTGAAAAGAAGATGGAATAAGATGTGAAAGTGATTTGGTGAATTTTTAAAAATATCTAAAACTATCAATCGTTTATACACACAATGAAAATTATCAATGAAGATAATGTTGACATTTTTATCAACTGAATATTATTTAGTTCCTATTCTGAAAAGCAGTTACTATTCATACATCGAAACACATATAGAATCAAATAATCCACTTATAAACATATGTACACAATATGTTCTATTTCAGTTCCAATATATTCAACCCAGTCTACATAAGAAACATGCTTGTTATAATTTTCAAGTTTGTCTAAAATATACCTTTCATTTTTCCTTACAACTATATAATGTATACAAATAGCAAGTATATCCACTTTAAAATATATGTATGTACAGTGAATATGGTATAATAGAAATTTGTGTTTTCCCACTTATATACCTATACAAAGCATGCTCTTTAAAATATCTTTGTAGTCAGTTTCATTATTGAAGAACTATTGTTGTTTTCAAATTCACATGAATAATTCTGCTCACTGCAAAAACTGGGACAAGAACTGAAATTTGAAAGAGGGCCATAAAAGAGATACCAAGAGCTGTTTACTAATTTTTGAAATATCTATATTTGATTCTCTATTTGTCTTAAAATAAAAATGGTTTTTATTCTGAGGAGAATGCTTTTTTTTGTTTCCAACATTGTGAAGCGAGTATTATTTTTTATTCACAAGAAGAATTTGCTGAATTTGATCATAACAGGGTATTTCCAACAGAATATTGTAAATCATTAGATAAATAAAAAAAAATATATAGACTGATTCTGTCAAATATTATTCAACAATTCGAAGTGTGTATTGAGGTGACACATGCTCTCTGTATTTTATAAAGTTGTATTTTCTATTTTATTAGGTGTATTTTTTGTGCCACAATTTATATTTGTTGGTGGCCTAATAATGAGATTTTTTATTGATAAGTTTTATATTTTACTCAAAATTAACCTTATTCATTGTGTTGTTCTAGTGTAGTCAAATTATGAATATTTTATGCCGTTTTTTCAATTGTTCTATGCATACCAATATGATATACAAGAATGATAACATCATAAAATGGTATTATACAAATAATGATCTGTATACAAATATACATCACAATAAATAACTCAACCAAAATTTTTATTTCAGTATACAGAAAACCTACATCCATATTTCTACTTATGCAAATATTCAAGTACTGCCTCTTATCCTCTTCCAATAAACGAATTCCAATCTTTCCTGGGTGTTTTGGTAATAGTATAGTAGCACATTTCACACACTGCAATATTTGAAAGGATGTACAGACATGGTTTCAATGGAAAAAAAATTAAGGGGGATAAATAGCTTTTTCGTTTTGGAGAATCTAGTATACCGAACCTGTTCAATTTTATGGCTACAGTAAATTTATTTGGTAAATTACAAATGTTTGCTGATGGAACGACTTCAATTTACGATGGAAATAGTGTAAAAAAATCAAAATTATTTCAAAAGACCATCAAATATCTTTATGGCTGCAATGCCATAAAATGCCACTGAATTTTCAGAAATCTTCATATACCTATGTTCATATCAAAAAAGTCTATATCAATTGATTCATGGAGACTGACACATTCAAACAATAAAAAAAAATAGCTCCCATAACACAACACAACAAAAAAATATTTTTTGAATGTTTCCTACACTAAATTAGTCAATTTCTACTAATTTTGGGGTGATAAAAACGAAAATAACAATGAAAAATTTTTATTAGCTCTGGTTTTTGAGATACACAGTACTTAATCTTAAAGAGTAGTTATACTATACGTGAAAAGTGAAAGTACATAAAACAATATTGTTATGTTTCTTTTAGAATATTTTAAGTACAAAATTAATAAAAAAAA